TACTTCTAGTATAATGTTTTCATTTACATTATTTTTGTAAGATTTATATCCGTTTATATCCGCAACAAAGAATATAGATAAGTTGACACATATTGATAAAATTGCCGAAAGTGACTCTTGACAAACTTGAGGAACAAAACAGGTTTTAAACCGTAATCCCTGCTTTATAATATTGGAGTACACTTTATTCTGATTGGCTCCTTTTTCGCATGTCAATCAGTCTTTGCATTTGTATTTATGTTGTTATAAAGTGTTTATAAGCGGCATCATCGCGACACAAATAAATTAGACGAGCCCAGTCTAAAAAATCATTTCTGGATTTAATCCATTAACATAAACAAAGGCAGCAACAATGATTCTGTTCAAATGTTTAATGTGTCTTGTCCAGAACAATTGTCTTATATTTATTGACGATTTTTTTTTGCTTCGCCAACTTGCTCCTGAATATCTAACCACATTTGTCTTATTTGGTTATCTCTGAGAGGTGTTGATGTTGGGTTGAACGACATTACCTCTTTCAGATAAAATACATTTATCATATAAAAAAGGACATGTATTCAGTGATCACTATTCCGTAAACTTTTTAAAAGAAATTCTTCTAATTTGTATTCACGGTGAGTAAACATCTGATTAATTCTAATAAGAATAATACGAATAGGGCCAAGTCGTTTCAACAACATTTTTTTCGTAGATTTTAATTTGATCATGTTAAATAGCCCGAAGTAAAACCATCAAATAATTAATGATTTTTATAATTACATTTGTTAAAATTTTTAGCGAATCCGTCAGTTTTAGGGAGATGTCTTATCCAACGTTGTTCAGATCAGATCAAAGATTAAACGTTATGTTTTTTGTTTAAGAAAATATCATTGAATAGCACACAGAAAAACACTTTTGCACTCCGGTAATCATACTAATATATGCTGTTTACTTAATGTATCTTGTCATTTGAAAGTCGACATTACCTTTTTTTTTTATCAATTATCAAAATCGTCATCGGACGACTCAAACGCCACAACATTTATTTAACTATAAGGGTTGGGACAACGCTCTCTCTTTTGTACTTTTGTAAACCCTTCGGGACATCCTTACTACCTTCTTGCAATGCCTCTAGTCATGGGTACGGAAGATAACCTCCTTTTCTGCTTCTCTACCTTTCGCCCTCCTCTCTTTTCTTTAGAGTTTTCTGGGACAGATAGTCTGTCAGACACAGCCTGCACAGACACAGGCTGCTCATACACAGCCTGTACAGACACCCCCTGCACAGACACCACCTGGTCACTTTCACCATCATGCGTATCGGATACATCTGACATCCTTACCACCTTTTCGTTTTCGGACATGCTGAAAGTCTCATTGAAAATTGGATGCTCATATCTGAAGATGAACATAATGTTCAAATTGACAAGTAGTTAAACATGTCCAATCATAAATCTTGTCCGAAACGAGAATCATAATCTTATTATTTATAGACTAGTGTCAAAGCTAAATCTACTAAGGGGCGACATCAAAAGTTCAATTTAAATGTAGGATGAAACACTTAATTCACATAGTTTTTCAATGACTCCCCTGTGACTTTCTGTTCTACATTCATATAACAATGCATCCAAAAGTTAATAAATGACTTACTTTCGTTTTCACAAAAGGTATACACCATATTGACTTTTGTTGTTATTAAAGATAATCTGTTGGAGATCAAAATGTGAGTAAAATATGAACTTGTTTGCACATTTTGTTTATATTGTATTTGTAACACTCTAACGGTATCACATTTAATTCTTCTCCGTTTGGGTAATTCTCGTTTGTCAATTTTCTGATATTCCCATCCCCCTTCAAGAGAGTTATGTAATTCTGAATGGAGAAATATTGTGAATGAGTTATGAATAATAATTAAATATTATTTATTTTATAGTTTTTCTTTTTATTCTCAGTTAAAGAGAGAGAAAGGAAGGGAAAATTGGACTAGACCTACTAATTTGATTTGCAACCGCCAGACAGAGAAGTTTGATTTGTATTCACAATTCTCTACAATTAACGTTTTAGTTATTGTAGACGGAACTGACATGTGATAATGATGTTGATAAAGATGGTGTTTCTAGTGCATTTATGTATTGGGAGGTGACATATACATTGGTAGTATGAGTGGTCAGCAGTTGAAGTCATGGTAACATCTGACATCATAAGAAATGTACAGGTCATCAAATGAAGTTGCTGAGCTGGACTTCAATGGCACGAACTGAGGAGACCTATGCCCGAAAAACAAGTATTGTTGATGGCCAAGTTTTCCATTTATTCGTATGTTTTGCCTACCTGAATACACAGATATGCGATGTAAGTTGTGGTTCTATAACGGTACTTCCACGTGTGTGCTCCGTTTCCAATAACTTCTTTATTATGCCTGGATTGTCGACATCATCTAGTAATGATATTTATATGACTTGTCCACCAGAAACAATACAATTGATTTTTTTAATACTGGGAAACATTCCAAAAACAAGGTTTTTTTGTGGCATAACCATCCAAGATTTAGCTTACTTGAAACTCTATTGGAAGGTGTCATTTCGCTATCTGGATATTCATTGTAAAATAAATATTCTTTAAAGTAGGTGGGGAAACATTATGTCCATATGCAATATACAGAAGGAAAACAACGGGGGAAAGAGTGATGCATATTCATTATCTTCATTGAGAGTACTATTTTCCTTAGTATGAGGAATGTTCGTGTTATGAGTCTCATAGTTTCATTATTGTCATTTTGCCACATCCTGAGATAACCTTCGCCAATAATTTCAACCTTGATGTGAGTAATTATGTAATCAAAGGGTAGTCTTATGTGTTGAAAAACATAGTCAGTAAACGTGTATTTCGTTTGATATTTTTTCATACATTTGAAAAGTTGCAATAGTGTATTGTGATAACATACCATAAATCTGTTGAACACGATATCATTGTTGGTTTTGTTAAATGTAGGTAAACAATTCTTTTTTTAATTATCATCTTCAGTGAAATAAATGTCCTCAGTGCTACTAATGTACTGGAATATTTTGTTACAACTATATGTTGAAAGAATCTGGTCGAACATGCATCTACTGGTAAAAAAAAAGAAATGCTCATGAAGCAGAATCTGATTATTGGTGTAAATGATTTCCAAATATCAGGTGCCTCATTATTACAAAAAAAAACAGATATAATATCGAAAAGAAATTCCTCGCTAACAATCAACGAGTCTCTACTCTGATTGATCTTGACATTGTTCTCTTAATTCCGGTCCTCTATTAAAGATAAACATACAATCTACAGAAAGATGGTATGACAGACAAGGTTTCTTTTTTATGTGCATTGACAAGAATTCAATAGTCCCATTTGGTTTCTCGCACTTATGTCGGAGTTTTTCTTCAATTCCATTGAATCGATTGTAAATACATACATTCAACTTGAATGCCATTGGAATAAACCAACGGTGAAATGAACCTAAAATCAGATAAAAAATAATAACAGATTTTCTTCTCCTCTCTTGTGTATCCCATTTGTTTACTAATTTGCAATTTCAAAAAAATCGACGATACTCCTAAGATTTTTCATTTCACAATAAAAAAAATCCGATTTTTTTTTTAAATTTGTAAAACTTGCCATTGAAAAATAATTGTTGACAGTGCATGACTATGTGTTAAAAAGTATTCAAGTTCAATCAATGTTCCAGAGGTTTGTCTGTCAACTAGGAGTACTTTTACTTTATCGGACCCAAATGAAAGGGAGTAATTACTAGTATATAGGGATTTGTCACGTCAGAAATCGGATCCTGATATACGACTGTTCCTAATTTGTCTTGTTGTAGCAGTACCCATTCCTTGGCTTGATATTTCCCTGTGGTAGATCTTGTTGACACAGATCCCCAATCTGATCTCCTGAGCATGGCATTCTTTATCAAGAGACGGTGTACTTGTGAGTCGAACCACTTTCATCTATTGGAACAAGAGTAGTGGTTTTTTTCATCTGATTAGTGAGAAAGACATCGGATGTTGTGTTGCTGCACTCCGGTGACTATCAGAACACTTTTTTTCAAATGGGTTAATGTTCGGATTGATGTCCTCTTCTTTCATTTCCAGATCACACAAGTTTACAAAAAGCAACACACATACACAGGTAAAATAGCTACGGACGTATTACGTCCGTAAAAAATCCGTAATACGTCCGTATTATACGGAAAACCTACGGACGAATAGTACCACGGACGTAAAACGTCCGTTGCTTCCCATCCATAATACGTCCGTATCAAACCGTAAAACATCCGTTAAACGTCCGTAATACGTATTTATAATGCTACGTCCGTAATACGGATGTTTAGTACCACGTCCGTAATACGGATTTTTTGTACCACAGACGTATAACGTCTATTAATATTATGCATATTATTATATAGAGATATTTTGAAAAAAAATACCTGTATGGTTTGATTTTTATGTAACAGTTATATTGCTGAAACTTTTGATGGACCTGTCAATGACAAAATGCTATACTTTATTTTAAGGTGATGATACTTTTTATCTGCATTCCCTTATATAGTCTCCTAGTGTTCTATCTAAAATTTGTTTCTGATGCAATACATACAAGGTTTTTGGCATAGAACTTTCTGTCATACAGTGACTTGTTGTTTAACAAGTTGAATATTGATGATAACTTTGATTTAAAATCTTTTTAAACATTCTACATGAATATTCAAGAGTAAATCAACATTAATCATAAGTATTTCAGTGCTTGTCTTTGGTTCATATTTTGCTTTCATATATTAACTTGTTAAAATAAGGCTCTTAGTTTTCTCTATTTGTCATATCCAAACCTTTTCATAGCACACTATATAGTTGGTTTTTTTTCATTGTTGGAGGACCTATAATTGCTCACTATCACATCATTTGAACTCTGGTGGATATTTTTCTCATTGGCAATTCAACCAAATTTCCTTACTTTTATATGATCTTTTAATTATATATCTAGAGTAATTGATCTCAAGAGTAATTGTGAATATTGTATTGTTTCCTTTTTACAGTTTTGAATGTATCTGTTTTCTTAAAACTTTCTTAGAACAAACATAATCTTCAATCTCCTTCAAAGTTCAAAATTTTATTTCCAAGGATTTTTATTCACATTCTAATTTCTTTACTTTCAAAGTCCATGAATGTCAAAATAAATGTCTTCTTTGTAAATTTAAATGTTGTATTTTTGGTAAAATTCCCATATTTGTGAGGTAGTCTTCTATGTCCTGTATTCATGGTATTGGTTATTCTTCACCATGTTCACTGTGAATGGTAACTGAAATAAAATATTCATAAATAATATAAATTTAACTTCCATGAAGTAATGTTATAATAATTAATAGTCTAATACACTTAAGAGGTCCCAAACTGCCTACAAAGTATATGCCTATGACATATTGTGAGTTTTAGCATGTTAAATTAAATTGCTTTGCCGAGTGCAGCTGGATAGGACCGTAGAGGTCCAACCCTGAACAGTTGGGGCAAAAATGGACACAATATTCGCACTTGATACAGGTCTGAATTTGGATTGTTATTAAATATTTGACAAATAATAGGTTTCTGACACAGAATAAATGTAGTCAAAGAACTAGAATTGGTTATATGATTTGAATTTATATTCATTTTTTTGCTTTTGTGCAGTACACTATGCTGTTGCGAATTGACACCCCTCCCCCAAATAATATTTGAAGAATTTTTTTTATTAATTTCGGACGATGATGTGATTTTTGCCGGTTGTATAAAAACTGCTGTCATGTCCATGTTTATTGTACTTTTTGCTGTAAGGTTGCTGTCAAACTAATGTAAGCCTTTCCTTTTACTTTCCTTTTATGAAATCTTAAAACAAAGTTGTGTGTGTACTCATATATCAATGTGCAGAAACAGTATCAATAGATTAATCAAACAATGAAGGAATTTTGATCAAACTACCATAGCCGTAACTTGGAAGAGCCTCTATTAAATACAAGCTGTAGGTTGAACCAGTATTTACAAAATTGTCAAAGCATGTTAAGCGTACAACTCATAGGTAACCAGTACCTCAACAAGACTTAGAGTGCACATGCTGACCATTTATTTTATGTTGAAATTCTTTGAGATAAAGGTAAAATTACTAAAAGTATCACAAAATCTTAACACTTTACAGATCTTTGACCATGAGGTGAAGGTCGGATAAATCCTATCAGACAGACATCTACACCAAACGATTTTTTTATACACCAAAGATAGTTGACCTAATATTTAAGCTTGTAGTACTTGAAAATCAGCAAAAATACAAAAACTTAACATTGATAAATGAAATGAGGTCATACCCAAGATCAGATGAAACCTGCCAGACTGACTTGCCAGACTGATATACATGTACAGTTGACCTACTGCTTATAGGATTTGAGAAATGGACCTTGTCACTGATCAAAAAAAGTGAAGAAGAAGCCAGGTGAACCCTTCTAACAGACATGCAGATGTTGCAAGGAACCCATATACCAAATATAGTTATAATATCCTATAACTCATACATGTCATAAGTGAGAAATTCACATGACAAAAGAACTATTTATTTTTTTCAAGAAGTTATTGAACCATGAAAATGAGGTCGAGGACAATGGACATATGACAGACAGAATCTTTGTAACATAAGCCTCTGCAAACAAGATATGAAGTCCAGGGGTTGAAGTCATAAAACTTTGCTCAGTGCTCGGAGCACAAAAATTATGCTAGAAACATGAAATCAAACATTTTGATTGGTTGATTTTGGAGTATGAGTACAAAAATCTGACTCAAAAGTTTTATGACTTCAAGGCCATTTCTTCTACCTTCTGAAATATAAAGCTTTATACAAATCGTTGACAATGCCGCCAAGAATAGAAATACTTATGGCTAAGTTTTGACAAAAAAACATTCTGATCAAAAAACAAAATTGAAAGTGTGAAATAGCATTATATTATATAAATAATAATGTCCTTTGGTCTTTTAAATGACACATTGAGGATCATACCTCATCTTTTTATATTTATATGCTGGTTAAACCTGGTTCATTGAAAAAGCTCCAAGGTTTATCCATGTACATAATCTGATTGCTATATGTTTGCAAATTCATTCTGATAATGCAAAATCATTAATTGGTTGATTTTTTTTGCTTATTTTAATGTCTAGTGGCAAATATTTTATGTATTCTAAATGATAACAACTTATCAATACATAATATAGGCCAGTCTGACTAGGTACACAGCTACTTTAGTACAAGTAATCTTGATGTACAGTTCTCAAGATGCATATCGAATGTACATCTGTAAAGCTGTATATTAACTGTACAGCTATAAAGTTTCATTTAATTTGGACCATTTTTCTGTTTTTCACATTTTTGCCATTTCCATGGTAACGGCAGCCATCTTGAAAATTCCAAACCCAAAGTGCACATCTGCACATGGGGATTGTCATTATGGAGCAGTTTTATCAATGTATGTCAAGTCATCTCCGAGAACTAAGCTGGACAAAAAGTGTGGAAGAATAATTCGTAGAATGACAATATGTCCCCCCTTTTATCAAAGGGGTGACATAATAATACGCAATTCCATTGTTCAAAAGCGAATTAAAGGTATTTTCTTTCATAAATTGATCGGAAAAATGATGTGGATTGGTTGATTGATGGTTTGTGATCATGATTGATCAATCAATCGATTGATTGATTGATCGATCGTTTGATTGATTGATCGACTGATTGACAGTTTGTAAAAGGTGGGGGGACATTTTTTTTTCGAATTCTGCACTTGATTAATTACTTGTTTGATATCAAAACTTGATTGATTGATCTCTTATCATGATTTGATCACTTTAATCATGATTTGATTGATTGATCAATACTTTGTATAGCCTAAAATGACACATTTTGCATTGGTTTATTCCTTGTCTATACGTTTTGTGCTGTTCAGTGTCAAATATCTAACGCACAATTTTACACGTAAGATTGAGAAATATACTCTATTTCCTCTTCTTACATCAGAAAAAATGAATGGCGATTAAGGTTATTCTAACACTAGATTTGCTATTGCAAGCAATAGCGGAGGATGTCACCCCGTACTGGACATTGTCAAGGTAGTAGCAATCATTTTGAGTGTACCAAAGTCAAATGGCACATCTATTATACATGCCTTTGATTCTGATTCCCCCCCCCCTTTTTCTCTTCTCGTAGAATAAGATTGATGTCTATATCACAGCTACTTTAGTACAAGTAATCTTGATGTACAGTTCTCAGATGCATATCGAATGTACATCTGTAAAGCTGTATATTAACTGTACAGCTATAAAGCTGTATATAAACTGTACATCTGTAAAGCTGTATATATCAACTGTACAGCTGTAAAGCTGTATATAAACTGTACATCTGTAAAGCTGTATATCAACTGTACAGCTGTTAAGCTGTATATAAACTGTACATCTGTAAAACTGTTTGTAAACTGTAGAGTTGATATACAGCTTTACAGCTGTACAGTTTATATACAGCTTTACAGATGTACATTCGATATGCATCTTTAGAACTGTACATCAAGATTACTTGTACTATTGTAGCTGTGTAAGTTTGAAATGTCAATGCTATGATAGTTTGAACTTCTGACATCTCAAGTGTGTGTGTATGGAGCAGTAGAAGGGGCAAAGTAAGGATGCCTTGATGCATACATTACATGGGAAAGTGAGAAAAATAAGCAACAGTGTACATGTACAGTTATACTTGAAACAGTTTTAGGTAGATAACATCAAATTATTTAAATTAACTGCAATTCTACAGATGAACTTACTTTGATATCAGTTCTTTTTTGCAGGACATTCACACCTACATGACATACATGTTCACCAGTGATATCAATCATTGTCAATACTGTACTTTCCTTTCATTTGGTTACAAGCTAAAATTGTATATATAAATAATTTAATCAAGAAGTCCAGACAAAAACTACATGTAGTATGAATTGATGCTCACTAATTTATACCTTTACTATATACTTTTACTTTTGAGTGAATTGAAACAAAATGTATGCAAACAACAGAAAGAAGATCAACATTTAAGCTTATAAAAAATTAATATAAATATATGTGCATATTTTAATAAAAGAAAAACCTTTCAATGTACCTTGGCAATGGATAAATTTTCTGTCAAAAAGCAAAATAAACTTCAATAAACGGTTTCCCAAGCAAAGCTGGAAACGAACCCTGAACAGTTAGGGTAAAAATGAACACAATATTCAAGTTTGATATAAGTCTGAATTTGGATTGTAATCAAATATTTGACACATTATAGGGGGGAAATTTCTGGATCCGCCACTGGGTATTGAACCTTTAGATTAAAGAGTACCATACACTTAAACTAAAGTTTTTTGTCCAGAAACCAAATGTCTTTAAAGGACAACAATGTGATAGCAGTATACTGTGTAGCAGTATACGACCCCATATTGTGGTTGTATAAAAAAATTGTTTGTTCTTTTAAACTTTTTCATATATAATTCATCTACAAGAAATGTAGGCCTGTTTGGGATTGCTTGCAATGCAATTTTCCTTATAAATTCAACCTTATATAGTAATGCCGGATTTTGATTGGTTGGTAACCAGAGCATTTTTCGTACATTCTTATCCTTTTTACTCTATTTCTGTACTACTTCTTTACTCAAAAATTATTGTAATATTTAGGTAAGGTACCAGTATTTTACAGTACTTGTTTTGTACTAAAAATTTTGGTACAGAAATAATACCCACAGTGATCATAATATTCTATGTTTGAAAATCATAACTTTAAGAGATGTGAAATAGACAAACTATCAAAATGCTGAAAATGTAACGGTGTAATAACATGAATAAAAAACTGTAGTACTTAAATTTCAAGTACAAATCAAGTACTGTAAAATACAGGAACTTAATATCATGATAATTTTAAAGTAACAAAATGGTACTAAATATTAAAAGTAGATTTCCAGTACTACATAATTTTGGTACAGAAATAGTAGCTATGCAAAAGTAGCTGTGTAACCAATGTCAAGTTCTTTGACTACATTTATTCAGAAAACTATAATGTGTCAAATATTTATTTACAATCCAAATTCAGACCTGTATCAAGGAATCAGAAACTTGTCAACATTTAAGTTAAGTACTAAGGAGTATTATTACTACAACTGCACAATATTAATGACTTTACCATAAGTTATTTCTTGGTTTCCTTAAACTGACCTCATCACGAATATCAACAAATTGTTTACGGTTTTGTAAAAAAAATAATTTGTCACTTCTAACATGGATAATTTTCGACTTGCCCACAACAAGAATCAAAACTTTGAACTCTATGACCTCAAACTTTAAAATAATCTTGGAAACTACATGTACAATAACATGATGTACCGAGTCTGACAAGAAAAAAATATTCAAATAAAGTCATCATTTTAATAACATACCTCTCATCACAAAATTATTCATTGACTACTGCTCCTCTGTGCTCATATGCACATAAATCAATATGACAATCTATGAATCCACTATATAATCTAGACATCAATGACCCAAATGAATTCTGTTCTGTTGCTTAGCTTCTCCTACTTCTCAAAGTACTTGTACTTTCATTGAAAATGCTAAAAGAAATAATGGTTAATGAAATGAAGTTATAATATCTGCCAAAATTGCCTTTAATATTTGATCCGGCAAAATTGGCTTAGTTTGATCTTTTAAAACTAGACCAACAAACTTTCCCTGAAAAAATAGAGGCTTCCAAGAGCCTCAGTCACTCACCAGTATCCACTGTGGTTTTGGAAATCATGTAAAATAACTTTTAAATCATAATAAATAGTATTAGATACACCAATAATGATTGTGGCCAAGTTTGGTTAAATTTGGCCGAGCAGTTTTAGAGAAGATTTTAGTAAAAGATTACAAAAATTTACGAAAAATGGTTAATAAAGTTGACTATAAAGGGCAATAACTCCTTAAAAGGTCAATTGACAATTTTGGTCCTGTCGACTTATTTGTAGATCTTACTTTGCTGAACATTATTTCTGTTTACAGTTTATCTCTATCTCTAATAATATTCAAGATAATTACCAATAAAATGCTCCGCAGGGCGCAGCTTGATACGACCGCAGAGGTCGAACCCTGAACAGTCGGGGCAAGTATGGACACAACATTCAAGCTTGATACAGCTCTGAATTTGGATTGTGATTAAATATTTGACACAGCATAGGTTTCTGACACAGAATGAATGTGGTCTAAGAACTTAAAAATTTTAAATTGGACATTCACCTATTATGGTCCAATATCCAAAATCTAAATACATGGTTAGATTCAGCATATCAAAGAACCCCAAGAATTCAATTTTTGATGAAATCAAACAAAGTTTAATTTTGGACCCTTTTGACCTCAATGTGGACAAATTTGATAATGGGGCCCAAAAATCAAAAATCTAAATACATGGTTAGATTCAGCATATCAAAGAACCCCATATATTCAATTTTTGTTGAAATCAAACAAAGTTTAATTTTGGACCTCAATTTGGACCAACATGAAAACTGGGCCCATAATCAAAAATCTAAATACATGTTTAGATTCAGCATATCAAAGAACCCTAAGAATTCAATTTTTGTTAAAATCAAACTTAAGTTTAATTTTGGACCCTTTGGACCTTAATGTAGACCAATTTGAAAAAGGAACCAAAAATTAAGAATCTAAATACACGGTTAGATTCGGCATATCAAAGAACCCCAATAATTCAATTTTTGATGAAATCAAACAAAGTTTAATTTTGGACCCTTTGGACCTCAATGTGGACCAATTTAAAAACGGGGCCCAAAATCCAAAAACTTAATACACGGTTAGAATCAGCATATTAAAGAACCCCAAGAATTCAAGAATAAAACCCCATTGAAATTGGTCAAGAAATAAGCAATTTATACGAAGTATCTTCTTTTGCACAATACTGTGCAATTGAATATTTCTTGCTATTGCGTAATACTGTACAATTGACAATTACACACAAGTTATTGTCATGAAACTAGAAAAATGCTTGTTTTTTGCCCCTTTTTTGGCCCCTAATTCCTAATATTTTGAGACAATTACCCCCAAAATCAATCCCAGCATTCCCTGTGTGATATGGAACCTTGTGGTACAATGTCAGAGAGATCCATACACTAACACACAAGTTATGTCTGGAAGTTACAAAAATGCTTATTTTTGGCCCCTTTTTGGCCCCTAATTCCTTAACTGTTGGTACCATAACCCCCAAAATCAATCCCAACCTTCCTTTTGTGGTATTGAACCTTATGGTAAAATTTCATAGAGATCCATTCACTTAAACTAAAGTTAGAGTGCGAAAGCCAATGTGTCTTCGGACGACGACGACGACGCCAACGTCATACCAATATACGACCGCAAAAATAAAAACTGCAAAATTTCCCTAAAATTACCAATTCAGGGGCAGCAACCCAACAACAGGTTGTCTGATTTGTCTAAAAATTTCATAGCAGATAGAACTTGACCTGGTGAACGTTTTAACCCCACGTCAGATTTGCTCTGAATGCTTTAGTCTCAGAGATACATGTGTAGGACTTGGAACTGCGATGCTACTCCGAACTGCGATGGTCACGCCGAAGTGCGATGGTCCATGCTGATGTGCGTTGGTTAACACGCTGAAGTGCAATGGTCCATTGTGACACTAACTTGTTGTTAGATATGCTGAAGTGCGTTTGGTGGGTACGCTGAAGTGCGATGGTCTAACTGTGACGTTGTGTATACTAGCTAAATGCAATGGTCTAAAGTTGAAATCCCATTTTTAAATGTGGCGGTGTAGTGGTTAATGTGCTAGCCTCGCATTTGGAAGACCAGGTTTTCTGGTCAGGTCAAAATAAAGACTTTAATTTTTAATTTGCTAATGTTTTGCTTAGTATACAACAGTATGAGGCAGAAAATAGACTGGATGGCTCAGATTAAGTAAAATGGATTCAAGTTGGGGGACATTGTTTTTATAATGAGCATTCAAGTGCGATAAAAAATAAAACGGGTATAGCACAGCGCTCTTTGTAGTACTAACTAAGCAGGATACATTTAATTTTATCAAATATACTAGAAACTTGTTCTTGTCATGTCAGTAGCTACGAAATTTCTCACAACATTCATGCATCTATTTATTTAATAAATCATAACAGTTTTTAAGAAATAAAAACTACCGATTACATTTATGCTTGACATATAGTGAGACATGACGCTTGTTCTGTCATTAGCTTAGATTTTTCGCTAAGCAGCAGAAACTGAGAATTACAACAAGTTGGCACCATTTGGGTTTCTTTTTGGCCTAACCCATAGCAGAATATTAATACTTTAAACAAAATAAAATAACCAAGATTGCCCGTTTTCTTACAAAGCATGCCGGATTCATTTCGAGAATAAAACAAAATTATCGCTACTTGATATAACGAAAACATTGCTAATAATTAATTTATTATTTTAAAAGTTGGCCACACAAAATCATGTGATGTTAACTTGAGGAGAAGTCAAATTTTATATAAGACCAAGACATGCTCAAAACTGTTTGGGACTTAAATCGTTCGTTTCATTCTGTTTCCTTTCCTTACGTACGAAACCTTCATCTACAAATCTTATTCTCCTGCCTGTGAATCCATTTGTTTCATAACGTTGTATTTGAAAACGTCACAATATCAAACGTCATGCAAAATCATCCCACTTTATCTAAAGGACCATCGCACTTCGGCGTGGACCATCGCACTTCGGCGTGGACCATCGCACTTCTGCGTGGACCATCGCACTTCAGCGTCCCCATCGCACCTCCGAGTCCTACACATGTATAAGCCAAAAACTGCATTTTACCCCTATGTTCTATTTTTAGCCATGTTGGCATGTTAGTTAGCAGGAGAGGTCATCTGACACATATTTCTAACTAAATATCCTAATGATGTTTGTGGCCAAGTTTGGTTCAATTTGACTCCCTAGTTTCAGAAGAGAAGATTTTTGTAAAAGTTAACAGCAACGGACAATGACGACAGAAGCCTTGTGATGAGAAAAGCTAATAAACAGCAGTGCCACGAGCGCATGATACACCCGTCGTCTTGTGTGTGAAGTTTTATGCAATAATCATAAACAGTTTCTGAGATACGGCGCGACATGTTAAAACCCCCCTTTTTTACAAAAAACTCAATAACTCTAAAATAAAATTTTGAATCATCACCAAAAAGTAAACAGATCTTAAGATTAATATAAATAAGTAGTGTGTAAAGTTTTAAGCAACAATAATACATGTTTTTTGAGATACGGCGCGACATGTGAAAAAAACACACCCCTGTTTTAGCTATAAAGTCTTGTAACTACGAAAGTTTAAATCTTATTTTCACCAAAAAGTATGCAGATAGTTTGACCATCATAAGAAACGACTATGTTAAGTTTCATTAAATTTGGATAAGTGGTTCTCAAGTTACAGTGCGACATGTGGACGCCAGAGAGACAGACAGACAGACAACAGACTGCCGGAAGCCGGACATTTGTATACCATAATATGTCCCGTAAAAATTTTGACAGGCGTATAAAAATGACTATAAAAATTCAAAGTATTTAATCATGTTAATGTTCTAATGATCTAATCCATCATATAAAATCCATATGACCCTTGAATGAAGGGATGAACAAAAGCGGTTATATACATGTATAATTGGATCTCTGAATCTGTCATGATTTATAATGCCAATCTTTGGGCATCAACTTACCATCAAGTTATTTTAATAATCATGATACTTTTTGAAATTTGAAGTCATTCAAAAATGTTTAAATTATACCAAAAGTTGAACTAGTATTTGATATTCATTGATATAAGGTAATATCTGAGAAATGGACTAAACGAGACAAGGTTTGGTGGTAAATACATGTACATGTACCTTGAAAGTTGTTATTGGCTTTGAACTAGCTGTTAGCAATTGGGAGTACTCTCAGATCTATACTTAGTCTTTTTAGTTTTGGGGATGTATAAATCTGCTTTAAAAGCCCTTTTCACACCAATATCCCAGCTAAGGTGGTTGGTTTAGTACCACAAACTACTAGTCTAGCCCCACCACAACCTTTTGAATGCGTCTGTCTCATGTCAGAAGCCTGTTAGTGTTATTCAGTGGTTCAGTTTGTCGTTTGTTGCTGTTTATAATATTTTGTTTTTTTGGTTCTGTTTTTTATATATTACATTGTATAAATTAGTCTGTTAGTTTTCTGGTTTGAATTGATTTACAAATTTGTGATTCTCATATAGGGTCTTTAAAACCTGACTATGCGGTATTGGCTTTGCTCATTGTTGAAGGATGTACAGTGACCTATTGTTGTTAACTTCAATGTCATTTGATTTCTGGTGGAGAGTTGTCTTTTCTCATTGGTGTAAACAATATTTTATTTTCAAAATAATTACGTAATTTAAACATTATTATCATTACAATATGACAGATTTATTAGGATTGAAAAACAAGTGAATTTACACTTTTAAAAATTCCTCTATTTTTTCTCATTGGCAATCACCACATTTTCTTATTTTTATATTTACATTACATACATGTAAAGCAGACCTTTCATCTTCTCGAGGAGTCCACTTCCTATGTACAACCAGGGGGCCCAAACAGCATCATCATGCATGATTTTGAGTCAGCTAAAAAAAGAATCAAATAGATTATGATACAATAAATAAATACATAAATTACATAATAATTTAATAATAAATAATGAATCTACAATCATATTTTAAGAAGTGAAACATCATTTTAAATCAATAAATATCATATATTAAATTTCGATTTCTTTGTATCAGTGTCTTCTAATTTCTGGGTAGATAAGTAAATACGGGCGAGTTGGCAGACCTTTATTTTTTTTATATTCTATATTCATTTGGATTTTACCCAAGTTAGGCGAGTTGCCATTGTTGACAGGAGTATATTTTACGGATTTAACCCTTTTCATAAGTGGGGCAATTTTTTTTAAAAGCGGGGCGAGTTGGTAAGGAAGCCACCACTTGATTTTTATGGGGTGGGGGCTAGGATAAGAATGTTATCCTGCATTTTTTTTTAATTGAAATCTCTGTCCTGCCAGTTAATTTTTCACTATATTTGTTCCTGGTAATTCTTTACATAAATCCTAGCTTTTTTTTAACTTATAAGTTGACAGAACTCCAGTTCCGCATATTTTTCAAATAACACACCCCTACCAGTACCCCCCAATAAAACTCACATGGTAACTCCCTTAACAAGAGTGGGATATTTTTAAAAAGGGAGGCGTGTTGTTAAAAAAGTAGGGCGTTTTGCCAGTGGGTCGAGTTGACTTGCGTCCGTTCTTGACAATCTTTGACTGATTTTCGGGTTTGCATGCGATGACATTTATAAAGTCAAATTTTTTTCGTGAAAAGTATAGCACTAGCATCTTCTTAAATATGTACATGATAATATTTACCTTTCGTTGCGCTTTCCAAGTACAAAATATTGGGTACGTAATCCGTTAAGAGAAACACAACTTTCTTTCGTTCCCCGGTTTCTTCCAGTTAATCGACAAGCAATCCATTTCAATTTATCTGTTCATACTAATAACTTTTTGACCCATCGGTTTTGAAAGACCAGAGTTCTTTGTATTATCTATCTGACTATAATATATCTTTCCATTCTTTAAACTCAAGGATTTGTACAGTGACACTATACAAATCCTAGTTAAACTGTAAAACATGAATTCAGCAGCAGACGAGCGTCCATGGATTTTGCGTCATAGTATAAAAAACGGCAACGGAGAAAATATTTCCGGGTTTTCGTATTCGACGTGTCAAGCTTTCGTACATTTACGATCATTTACGTATATGAGAGTTAGTCCGGAACCCGGTCTGGAATCAAGAATGGGGAATTAAGTAGAGATAATAATTACAAAAAAGTTCAGAAGTGGTACACTGAGTATTATATGCCTTTGTTATAATCAAGGATTTGTATACTCTACAAATCCTTAATATAAGACTATGAAGAATCAGAGACATACATGTACATTCGTACATGTCTCTGGAAGAAGTGAGAATAAAGAAAAAACTAAATAAAGAATATTTAATTATTTATTTATTATTTAATCTATAACTTATTCACTTATTTTACATTTTGTTCTATTCAGAATTAAATACAAGACTGTTTGTGTAACAGCCACTATGTTCCGTCAGTTGCTTTGTTCCGGCGGAACTTTTCAACTAGTTATTTCGTTCCGATGGAACTTTCCAACTAGTTGTTTTATTCCGAGTGCAGTCGAAAAGTTCCGGAAAAAAGTAGCTAGTTGAAAAGTCCCGGAACAATGTAGCAAACGGAATAAGTTGCATTATCATGCAAATTTAGTATTCATAGTACCCTCAAGAGAGGGAAGAATACCCCCCTCCTCATGTGGGTACTTTTAAAAATATCAATTTCAGATTAATGTATAACAATAAATTAGAACTTATTCCGTTATGAAGGTAACATTCTGACCGAATTAAGTACCATAATAATGAAGAGGGGGAAGAATGAGGATCAGTATATAAGACACTTTTGTTCCCCTTTGAAAAGGTTCAAAGATAATATGTTGTGCTTTTACTTTGCATCAATTCTCCAAATGGAACTTTGTGACTGGTTGATAAGTTCCGTTGGAACTTTTGGGCTAGTTTGTTAGTTCCGGTTTTGACTTATTTGTCAAAGAGGAACTTTGTGGCTAGTTAATAAGTTCCTTTTGACTTTTGTAATCAGTATCTTGGTTTCCCTTTGAAATGTTCAAATATAATATATTGCGCTTTTACTTTGCATCACTTCTCCAAATGGAACTTTGTGACTGGTTGATAAGTTCCCTTGGAACTTTTGGGCTAGTTTGTTAGTTCCGGTTTTGACTAATTTGGCAAAAAGGAACTTTCTAACTAGTTGATATGTTCCGGTGGAACTTTTCAACTAGTCACTTTGTTCCGGTGGAACTTTTAAACCAGAGGAAGAACAAATTAACTAGTTAATAAGTTCCTTCTGAACTTTTCGGCTAGTTAGTTCTTTCCGCCCGGAACTTTCCAACGTAAGAACAAAAGAGCATTTACATTTGCTGAGGGGGTGGTGCCGCGGAATTATGGAAAATTAATTTTCACTTAATTTGGGAAAAATTGATTTGATATATATGTAAAATTGATGTTGGATAAACAAAACTTGCAGCAATTTTTACCCACCCACCCCACCCCCAAACTATTTGATTTTTAAGTTTTTTTTTTATCCTACATCGATCTTATGATGTCGTCAGTCCCTTATGTTATCATGTTTGTCAAAATGTCGAATCAAATCAAAATTTTACTTACTAAATTTGCAATTATACTAAGACGTAGGTTGCCACATGTTGAGCAGCCCCGGGAAGTTCCGAACTGTTCACTACTATCACTACTTGAGTTCATTCATGTATTTTGGATGTTCATGTTGCACACAGAGGCGAATTTAGTGCACCCTGCCCCTCCCCTTTTTGTGGGAAAAATTTGATTGATTGTATAGGGATTATCACTTAAGCATGCAGAGTGGATTTAGAGGGGCCAGGGGGGATTTGGTTGATTATATAGGAAATCACTGAAGCATGACCAGAGCGGGACCCTCACGGTTAGGCAGTCAGTGGGCCCCACTTATGAAAATATCTGGATCCGCCACTGGCATGACTAGTGAGGCCTGCTTTTTAACAGTCAGTGCCCCCACCCCCTTTATGAAAATTTCTGGATCAGTCAGTTTATGTGTAATGGTAAGTTATTGTTGTTTTATCTTTTATTCTCTGGCTTTTCTCGTTTAATTAGATTTTTGGTTATAAATTAATTTAATTGGTATCCTCTTTCAATTTCATCATTAACAATAGACCTACACCAAAAGGCCCTGTACTGTAATTTTCTATCTTGCCCAAAAATACTTTAAATAGTACTGTTTTCACAAATGCTTGCTTGAAACACAACTTAATAAAATAGAAGCACTGCAGGTAATTTGCTTTTATTCCACACCAAAGGAGAATAAATGTATGATAAAGTTATAATGTTACCGGCATTATTCTACATATATTCTGAGACTATTATAACACTATGTTATAGTCTGAGGTTATAGTAGTCTCAGATGCATTGTATAAGGGCTTTAATATAAGGGCGGGTATAAGGGACGAAGTAACACCATGTGACTATTGCATTGGTTGTCGTGATTTAAACACGATAAGAGTGTTTCCTTCCCCCTAAATCTCATGATCCTCATTCAGTCATTGAACAGGATAGAAACTACTTCAGACATCAAACAATCTGAAACTTTTCAAGTACTTTCTATATGCTCATGTGCAATTTCTTGTTAGCATAGTTTTGTACTTGGACAGATAATCAGAATGATCAACAATCAAGTATTGACAACAGTCAGGTCTATTTCCATTGGTCTCATTTGAAGAAACCAGGTATGCGCCATAATGCGGTAATTTTAATTCAGCCATGTACAATATATATATGCATCCAGTCATTTTTACTCAAGCGTTACAAATAAGGTTAAATGTTAGATTTTTATATTCTTTTAACTGCATTCATGGCAATTAATTAGCCATCCATCATTAGTTGTTTGTGGGAAAGACACCAAGCACTCTTTGTATAATTCAACTTAATATTGCGAGGACAAGCTTTTAAAAATAAAATCTTTTAAAAAATATAAAGATTTTTTTTCAATTACATTTATTTCTTAATTAGGCCAAATGAAATAATATGTGTGTTTCCTATTACATCTTTGAAAAAATAGGATAGGTAGGGGATTTTTCTTATTTTACAATTTTTTTTTACATTGAGTCTATGGGCTGATGGGAGAGAAATTCTGACTTTAACAGTGCTTATTGATAAATCAAAAAAACTTTAGGGTAGGCTATTTCTAAGCTTAAAATATAGGGTAGTTGCGGAAATAAGAAACACACATATTTTTTTATTTGACCTTACATACAGGAAAAAGATATTTTTTTTAATTAACATTGTTTTAATTTTTTTATAATTTCACTCACAAGTTGACTCCTTTTCTAGATTTTTTTTGGAAGATATGTTTTAAAATGGTTGATGGAAAAGTACAACCATATCTTAAATTAAATAAATGGATGTTCATGATGAACATCAAGAAGCAATGAAAAAATTCAGTGTTTAGAAACTCACTATCTTTTTTATTATACATGTATGAAAGAATGAGAAAACTGTTGAATCATCGTGACTGTTGTTAAGAAGCTTTCCATTTAATTTTGTTAATTACTACCTGGGAACAGTCATGACAGTTTATCAATATATATGTTCCTGTTACTATACACTTTTCATTAAATTTCTATAATTAACCCTTTCCTCTATAATGATGCCGCTGTGTTGTAGTGCATCAATTGAAACGTTTTCATGTACAGTTAACATTGCATTAAAGTACAAGTATTTTCTGCATTTCATTGAAAAATCCTATGCAAATGAAGTATATAAAAAAAATGCTCTGGAGAAAAGGATTATAAATCAGTCATTGACATTGTCAGTTAATTATTTTAATATTTCATACTTTTAATTAAATCATGTGGTCTTTTCGGAAAAAGATCACTTCATATGTACTCATATTATGCAGAGATTCACTATACACATGTATGTCTGGCATGCAGAATGTTGAAAGCAAGTTAAGAATTTTACTTTATGCATGTATTAGCCGTTGTGCATATATCATGCATGGTACTTTTACATCTTTGAATAAGATATAGCCGTAATACGGATGTTGCAGAAACGTCCGTAATACGTATGTTTAAGAAACGTCCGTGAAACGGAAAATCCGTTTTACATCAGTATTTACACGTACGTTTTACGGATGTATTTTTACAGACGTTTTACGGACGTAACCGTATCATCCGTAATACATCCGTATTACGGATGTTTTACGGACGTTTATTACCACATCCGTGAAACGTCCGTAGCTATTTTACCTGTGTATGTACAACATAATAAAATGGCTACCGGGGCTGAGGAGGAAGTGGGGGATGAATGGTATTTGACAGTAATTTTAAAGTAGGCAAACGCATTGTAGAATTAGGTGTACTGGCGAAAAAGATGTACTGTTGCACCTGCATTGGATGTTGTGATGCTGCACTCCGGTGACTATCAGCACACTTTTTCATAAAGGTAAACATTTAAATAATTTTATGTGCTGAAAAGATCAGTGTGTTATTTCTAGATGTCGTCTTGGTCATACTAGAATAACACACAAATATCTATTGAAAAATGAAGATGACCCCCAATGAATACCTTGCAACTGCAGGTACACTATAAAACGTGTTTTATTTAATTGTTTTGACTTATATTTGTAGGAAGCATTTCAATGTCAATAATATGTATGATTTATTAAATAGTGTTCCAATTACACATAATATTCTTTCATTTTTAAAAGACGTTGGAATATATTATAAAATATATATATGTTATATAAATTTAAAGTGATTTAAACTTTTATCACGTTATCTTAGTGTTGATTTTTATTTGTTATTAATCAACTTGCTTTGGACCAAAATTTTACTGTATTAAGGGACCTTTTAAGAATATACTCAAAGATTGTAAACATATTTAAATTAACTCTCGCCGCGATATAGTCTTTTAGCGTCCATGCGGCGAAGAGCAAACGCCAATCAGTCAATCAACCAAGAGCCTTTCGTCTGTTATTTCTGGAAAGTTTCTTTTAACCTCTTTCGTGGGTGTGAGCGGTCATCTGACTTTCTAAGCAAGATCATTTTACTGTTACAGTAAACGAAAGATTATCCAGGGGCCAGGATGCATTCACTTTCTTCTGCTACTCCTGTCTTCGCATTTTTTTACACGCCTATCTCCAGGTCGAATTTTCTGTAGCTAAACCAATGTCCTCGTTTGAAGAGAAAGAATGTTCTTGTATTGTGTTAGGGCGCCGTCTAAGAACTGTATGACATTTTTTAACAGCAGGTTTTAACAGACGCACTAACATTTACCCTAACCTGAGACTAGTGTATTAGGGTATTAAAACTGATTGATTTTCTTTAATGTACTGAAGGAACTGAAGGACCTTGTAAAGCAAGTAGACGAAATGAACAAATCCATCACAGAAATCAAGAGCAGCATTTAAAAACTAAATAATGCTAATTTTGATCTAGACACTGCAAGCAT